GTGGTCAAACCAGAAGTTGTAGTTACTTCAGATATTGTGGTCTGAATAACTTTACTTGAAGCTTCAGCTGTGGTTGTGGCTCTACCAGTTGTGCTTTCAACAGCCGAAGTCACATCAGCAGTTGTTGTGTCTGCAACAGGGGTGGACACAGACTCTGTAGTCACTCCTGCAGTAGTGATTATCTCAGCAGTTGTTGTTGTTTGGGCTGCTGAAGTGAATTCAACAGTAGTTGGCTCTGCAGCAGTGGTCTGAGCAGCAGTGGTCACACTTGAGTTGTAGTTACTTCAGATACTTTGGTCTGAACAACTGTACTGGTGGCTTCAGCTGTGGTTGTGGCTCTACCAGTTGTGCTTTCCACAGCTGATGTCACATCAGCAGTTGTTGTGCCTGCAACAGGGGTGGCGACAGAACTTGTAGTCACTCCTGCAGTTGTGATTATCTCAGCAGTAGTTGTTTGGGGGATCACGGTTGTGACAGCTTCTGTGGTTCTGTCTCGAACAGTTGTCTCCACTTCAGTGGTTAATCCAGAAGTTGCGCCAATATCAGCAGATGTTTGAGCAGCTGTAGTTGTTGCAGGACCTATTGTAGTCCCTTCATCAACTGTAGTGCGTGCAGATGAAGAGGTTTGTGTAGTTGTCTCTGCTGCAATTGTGGTACCAGTCACAGTTGAGGCACTGACTGTGGTGACTTTATCCTCAGAAGTTGTCTCGGCCGCTGTTGATGTACCAGCTGCTGCAGTTGTCTCAGCACCCGCATCAGCTGTCTTGGTAGATGTGCTGATAGCAGCTGATGTCTGAGGAGCTGTAGTTGTTACCTCATCGGTTGTGATACCTTCAGAGACAGTTGTTTCTACAGATGTAGCCACACCTTGTGTAGTAGTCTCGACATCAACAGTAGTTTCAGCCCAGTGGTACTTCTGCCGGTTGTGGCTACCTCTGGAGTTGTCAGGGATGTTCTGGTGGATAAAGCATCTGTACTGCTCTCTGCAACAGTAGTTTCAGTACCAGTGGTTATTCCAAGAGATGTGCTCACACCAGCTGATGTCTGCGCAGCTGTGGTTATTCCCTGCTCTGTGGTCGTATCTCCAGCAATAGTAGTTTCCACAAGTGTAGTCACAACTGGAGTGGTTGTCTCTGCTACAATTGTAGTTTCAGCCACAGTTGTAGCTTTATAGGTTGAGGCTATTTCTGGAATGGTTGTCTCTGATGTTATTTGAGTTACAGCTTCTGTACTTCTTTCTGGCAAAGTAGTCTCAATGTCAGAGGTTATTCCCACAGTTGTGCTAATAACAGCTGATGTCTGTGCAGCTGTTGTTGCCCCCTGCTCTGTAGTGATACTTTCAGCAAACGTAGTTTCAGCAGACGTAGTCACTGATTTTTCAAGAGAGGTTGTTGCGACAAGTGTAGTGACAACAACAGTTGTTTCAGCACTAGTCATATCAGCAACCGCTGTTGTCTGTTCTGAAGTTGTACTCTCAGAAACAGATGTCAATCCTGTTGTTGTGGTAAACTCACCACTGCTAGTCTGGCCTGGCGTGGTAGTTCCCTTTGTTATTGTTGTCACAGCAACAGCTGTAGTGTCAGCATCTAATGTTGTCTGTGCTGGAGTTGTGGACTCGGGCAGAGCAGTTACTTCACTGACAGTGGTTACCTCCACGGTGGTTTTTTGCACTTCAGTAGTCGTTACATCTGCAATAGTTGTCTCAGCAACAGTGGTGCTTTCAGTCATAGTAGTTGCCTCAGCGCTTGTGGTTTGATCAGCTTTTGTCTGGGGAGCTGTTGAAAAGTATAAATAAATGTAACAATAATTTCAGCTTTTGACACCTTGTACTTTAACAAAATTATTACAATTATGACAGAAGATTATGAACCAAATTGATTTTCTTAGTTTAGTTAATTAGTAATGATTGGAATGTAACTGATAAAATGGTTTACTATGAACTATTTTGAGCCATCATTTGAAAGTTGAATCGATTCGATGAGTTACAATGGCAAATGAATCATGAATGTTAACGAGGAATATCATTGCTCAATAATGTAGATAAATATGAGAAAATGACATTAATCATTTGGACGATTTATACATACCTGCATGCATACTATTTTGAACCCCCAAAAGACTGCAGTTCTGAGCTGTTTTTAACTTCACAATCTTGCGCATGACGTTCAGTTCAGGTAAGTTTGTCTGTGTGAGTCTGACAAAAGCTTTTACACACTGAGACATTGATATGGTCTTATATTTTTTGTTAACTGTGCCTGCATCAAAATGATTGTGTTGCTATAATTGAGTATTCCTATCTCCACACTTCCCTACATATTTTAAACCATGCTGGTCTTTAATTTTTTTCTGGTGTAAGTTGCTGGTGGTGGCACTTTATCGACATGAACAGAAACAGAAAAAAATATTCTTCCTTTATATGTAGTTTTTCTAATGATTTATGTTTAAAACCTGGCAGTACCAAAGAATGCAATTAGTCAAAAAAATGTCAGCTATCTTATGATTGGATTTCACTGTCTGAATCTTTCAACAGTTTAATGCCACTCAACGCTAAACGTTCACAGTCACATATTTGTTTTAGCATAACAGTTACTCCCCTCCCACCAATTCCCCGAATTATTTTAGGTTGTTTAAGAATTTGGCTCGTTTTGAATACTTAAAATTTGTGATTACCTATTTTTTTTTTTATAAACAGTTGCTCTGTACATTAATACTTGCACTGTAATAATAACTTATACACAATTAAGAATGGGTCCACGTAAATATTTCATACAAGTGTCCTCCGTATTTTTTTTAATATGAAAGGACCTGGTGAGCATGTAACCAAAATAGAACTTAATCTTTTTTTCTATGGTCGTTGCCACAGTAACAGGCCATTTTACATTACACTGCATATTTCAGCAAAATATCTTTCCGCACTGTAAATTAGGGACAAAAAGTTGAAAACTGGGTTTAACACCTGATGCAGCCTGCATTCTAAACATATCTCATATTTATTTGTCATTTCCAAAATTTAAGTATGGATTATGGAAATGATTTTGACATATGTGGTTGGGGTCCACACAGCATAATTCAGCACCATAACTATTCACATACTAAATTTGGGCCAAAAAGCTGAAATTCATCTGTTTTCATGCCACTAAACAAAATATTATCAGAAAATGGAATGTTAAAAATGCTGGGGGGGGGGAGGTTAAAAGTTATATTTTGCTGCCAAAAATGCTGCTTATTCTGTAGGAGTTATTCACAGGACTACAACTCACTCTTATGATTTGAAAAAGGTGCCAGAATCATAAAAGTATTATTTTTTGTGTATTATTACTTCAAACGGAAGGAACACCTCAAATTTCACTTTTCCTGTTTTTCCTTTTTTTTTGGAAAATGACAATTTTTGATGAAGTAACTGCCTAAATAGGATACAATCCCCCAAAACTTTCCAGATATGGAAAGACTAATGTTGACTCTAATTAAATCCAAAAGGAAAATATTCTGAGACCCCTGGCAAGTTGACTTTTTGAGGGACAAATCTAGGGTACAAATAACAATTTTGCAAGTTCTAAAAACCTGCTGTAACGAATGTGCAAAAAAAGCATAAGGGTGACATTTAAACATTATATTTTTTTCAAATAAGGGCAAGGATTATACTTTGTAACGATATGGTTGATTTTGTGATATAACTTTGCATTTTGGCTGGCCGATTTTTAAAATAAGCTAAAAATAGATTTTGAGTCCCAAAAACTTGCTAAAATTACTATGGCAACGGGCCATAGATTTTTTTAAGTTTTAATTTTGTTACTCAGCTCACCAAGTCCTTCATATTATAGAAAAGTGTGGAGGACAATTACAAGAAATAATTATGTGGACCCACTATTAAGTAGACCGATATAAAAAAAAAATATGAATGAGAAAGACAATATGGTAACCGTCACAAATCAGCCAAATTCAGACACCTAATTGTGCTTAATAGTGATGCACATGTGAATGTAGATTCAGAATAGATGCATTATATGTCACATTTTATGTCGGAATGCACAATCTTTCAATTTGGCTGATTTGAGTCAATTAAAATGTATGTATCTAGGGGTTTATGGGAGATATTCAAATGAAATGTGAAATCAAGCATGAATTATTAAATGACAATAATGGGAAATGATTTTGCTAAAGACATATGAAAATTAAAGAAATGTTGCCTTAATAAATGACAAAATTCAAGGCAAGAATTTCTGAATATTTATGTTTAAATACAAAATGTAAATCTGGAATGAAAATGAAAATATAAATATGGCCAAAGAAAGAAAAATGAGATGGCAAAATGCATACATATTATAGTAATTTAACATGTTTTTCTTATATATGATATTATATACACATATTATTATTAATATGAGGCGTGATCTTACAGGGCAAGTCAAAAAATTTAACCCAAACCCAAAGATGTATATTTCATATTTTAAAAAATATGTAGCATCAAAAATAATTATGAATGGTAAGTCAATTTAATAAACTACTTTAAGATGAAAAAAATACTTCAACTTCAAGCTGTTCAAATTATATCACCATTTAAATGAAATGCCCCTAAAATCAGTTTGTCCAAAAACAGCAATTTATTGTGTGTTCTAACTGTTTGGAACAACAATGAAAATGTCACAGAATACTTGTTTCAAAAATAGTTATAACTGTATTACATTATATCTTTATTAACAGCCCTGCTTTGGCTAACAACGTGATTTGTAAAATCCACAGGCCTTCAAAAGGACTTCGTAGAATATTTTAAACTTTTAAACTAAGGATTTTATCGCTCCTGATGCTTGCCGACAATTGTAACGACAATTCTTGAAATTGAATTTTTGGACAAAAACAGATTTTAGGGTCATTTCATTTAAATGGTGATATAATTTGAACGAATTGAGCAATTAGAGTGAGTTTTTCATCTAAAACAAGATTATTTAATTGACTTACCATTCGTATTTATTTTTGGTGCTACAAATTTTTTGTAAAATATGAAATAGATTTCTTAAGGTTTGGGTTCCCCTTTTGTTTTACTCATCCTGTATTTTGAGTAATTAAAGAGGCAAACATAATTATGTACAGGACAAATAAAACAAATGGATAGCATCTCAAATTCACTCAAACTACATATTGATTAATGGAGAATATGAAAAGACATCAATAACTGTCAAAAATAGCTATTTTACGCATGAATATTAAAAAAAAACAAGAAATGAAACAAGATAAATGCATGGTACGTAACAAATTAAAGTTATTGTAACATTCTTGGAAGAAAATAAACAAGAGCATGGAGAATGAATATTAAACATTACTATTTATATCAGGCTTTCCAGCGGTAAAAATAAATCAGCGCATTGTTTGCTATCAGAAAAAAAGGACCTGGATGATAGCAATATTATGTCAGTAAAATCACCCGTATGAAGACAATGTTACTTTTGATATTGCCCTAATCCGGGCATTTTCGCTGGTTCCTGAAAGATCAAGAGCAGAGAAGCTCAGTTGACAACCAGTCAACCGAGCGTCGCGCAGTACCATCGCACATGGATGCGCCCGCAGCAAGCACCAGGTTACACGCACACTGTTGTCAACATCCGCAATGGCAGCTTCAAGCGGCATGAAAGTTGTTTCGGTAAGTGAAAAACAATTCGACGAAACAGGGGAAATGAAGACAGTATACTGAAATGTATTTTTTGCGAAAACAGGTCAGCCCGATATAAATAATAATAATATTGCATGGCTTTATATTTTCGGAGGACACAAGAATATATTGCACTTGCTATGACAATATTGTACTTGTCTTCCACTCAGGCAATATTGTTACAGCTGGTGCAATATATTCTTGAATCCCCCTCAAAGCCATCCATTACTATATAAATATTTAAATGGCACAAAAATAAAAGTGATATTTGAAATGTTCGCTGCAGGAAGAATGACTTTCTCTGTCTTCAGGACAGCAGCCAACAATGCATACTCAGAGTTGATTGTGATTCAAAGTATTAATGGCTACAGAAATTTTAATCTCTAGAATAAATATTCAATAAAACCACAAAAATTTGCTGCATCAAATTCAGTTGCAATGTACTTCGATCACTAAGCATTGTACAATGCATCTCTCAAACTGGGAAGCATTGCACATTGGGTATGAAGTATATGTAGCTTCAGTTGCAAGTAAATTCAACTCAGTAATTGCAAAACTAGTATTTAGAAGACGTTTAGTGAAAGAACTTTCTGCTCTTGTAAACATATGCCATATTTGACTTAACGTCAAACAAAAGAAAATCATGTGGAACAGCAAGAACACACAAAAGCAGAGTTTAGTTAGGAAGGGAAATACACAAATATCAAAATGTGATTTGCTTTCTAACCATGGTATACTTCGCCATGTCTGTTTTTTTAGTTTCAATAGCTTGTTTGAATATGATTCAAACTAGACAAGACAGGCCTTGTAAAGCTGGTCACAGAGGGCACAAAACCCTATTCAACTGATATAGAATTGCTAAAATGTTCGTACAATAAACAGTAGAGGTCTACGTGTTGGAAAGAGGTAACCAGTCTAATTCAGAACTGACAGTCAGTCAGTCAGTGAGATAGGTAACAAGTCTAACTATCAAGTAACACACGTCAGTTAGTGAAATAGGTAAACAGTCTAATTCACAAGTGAGAGTCAGTCAGTGAGATAGGTGAACAGTCGCATTCACAAGGGGAGTAAGTCAGTTGGAGACTTGAACAAGTGCAATTATTAAGTATGAGTCAGTCAGTGAGACATTCAATTAGACATTCCATGAGTCAGTGAGTCAGTCAGGTACAAAGCCTACATATATTGACTGGCCCCCTGTGACCAGCAAAAACAAGAGGGGTTCCTTCTATTTTTTTTCTGTTTTTGAGATGAAGACATAATATGAAGCAAACACATTTGAATTTCTCTGTGTAATTGACCTATAGCCGTTTGCGAGTTAGCCATGCCCCCTTAGACAACCTTATGGAGTTTTTGTACACTAAGTTTTGTTTGTCTAAGATTTTGTGTGTTCCGCGTCCATTCGTATATCATGAAATTGGACAATATTTCACAAGCAGCGTTGACATGATTCTACCAATATAGGTCAACTCTGACACAGTGAAGGCCTTTTGCCCCCTTAAGTACAACACGGATGTGAGTCACCATGGATATGACCAAGGCAAACTGGAAATCAGGGAGTAATGTAACATCTTGGATGTATGAGTTAGTGAAGTGGGTCTGTATCACACAAGGGGTTCAGAATAGAATGTTACAGATTAATCAGCCAACAACTTGATTAAAACACATTCCCAACCAAAGATGAAAGAAACGCAGATACACACAATTATAAATGTTAGAAAATGAAAAAGGCCTCACAATTAGACTATCATGTCCCAAGCAGTCAGAAATATCAACAACTTGAAATGGGTGTTTCAACAGCTTCAACCATCATGATGGCAATATTAAGCCAGATGCTGATATTAAGCTTAATTGAACACATTCACATAGCATTTGATTATAAAGCAGTTCTTTAATAGTCATATCGTTTGATGAGAGGAAAATAACTAAATATTAAACCTCACAGTTGAAAAAATGCAACCAAACAGATGAAAAGATATTAATCCACAAGCATCTACAACAGTGTTAATTATTCATAAATACCTGAGACAGGTAACCCATTCCCACTGGTCAAAAGCCCATCACATGGGTGGATTTAAACAGTTGATAAAACACAGACTGGCTGGTTTTAAACAATGTTCCGGTGTCACATGAAATATGACTCCTATGAAATCTAGTACCTTTTAACTTTTTGGACTCCTATGGTTGGATGGTCCTATTGGTTGAATGTTCACAGTTCTCACTTAGGCATGTGCAATACTCCCGAAGAGTCCATATTTCAGTCCTAAACTCACACTACTTGAGCACCGCCACATTCTGCGCCACATCGCGCATTAATGTGCCATGCACACGCCAATCTTCGTATAAATGTAGCTAGAAGGGTGTTTAAAAAGTATGAAGTAAACTTGTTGAACAAATTCGTTGGAAATTTATAATTTTTGACCTGTATTTACTTTTTGACCGGAAGGTATTTACGAATGGGAATAACTATGTGCTTGGTCAGTAAACGAGTACATTTAAAACCGGCTTGGGGCCTGGTCAATGATAATGTCCCTCGCCTTCTTTGTCCAGGCCCCAAGCCTGTTTTAAATGTATTCGTTTAAAATCGGCCAAGCACATATTTATATCCTTAGTAATACATTTTATTACATAATATTAATTCCCGGACGAATTGATAAACCATGAGGAAGTGGTTTTTGATGGAATATGGAGTAATAGGCAAGTTGGTTTGGGCAGTAAAGGTACAAATAATGGGTTCAGTTAGGTGCACAATACAAAGGAAGTGAATGTCAACATGTAAGTTCATGGAAATGAGCAGTATAGACAATAATGAAAATTCTAATGTTTCATTTTCAAATTCACCCACTGTATATAGGTTTTGGTTTTAAGTATACTTGATACCTGATTTGCTTCATTGTATCTGCAGAATTAAACAATTCTGTAAAGTAATCCTGTAAACTAATCCTTACTATGCTAAAGTAACCTGGGTAAAATGAAGAAAGTATATATACAAGTTCAAATGTTTATTTCTGCAGATACCCACGAAAGTAGAAAAAAATCAACTTCTAAAAGACATGCAAAGCATCAATCAGTACATGAATTTGAAAATGAATATAAATGAAAAACACAAACATAAACAAATATAACACAGAAACACAGAGCATGCATATGATGAAATGATTCAAGATGAATAAATGAATAGATTGTGTAAAATCTTTACATACAAATGAGCAAGTACAAATTAAAAAGCCACAGTGTGTGTGTGTCACTGTTACACCTGTTATTTTTCTTGTGCTTCATTAATGGTGTCAGGATAAGGAGCACAAATGGAGTTTTGCCTCATTTGTAGCGTTAAGATTTGGATTTTATGAATGGTATAAAACAAACGTTTTGTGACCTAAGAAATGCTGGTCTTGTTGTTTCTGAAAAACTAAACAGTGTTCTTAAAACAATCAACAAGTTAAACAAAAAGTAAGGATGTATATAAAAAACACAACACACCTATGTAACTATGGCATATTCAACTGCACTTGCTTCAATAAATATTAATATTAGCAAAAAATCTGTACCTGTCGTTGTTAATAAAGAAGCAGCTGTGGTCTCAGTCAATCCTTTTGTGGCTACTTCAATGGTTGAAATCTGAGTACCAGAGATGGTGTAACCTGAAGTAGTTGCCTCTATACCAGTGGTAATTTCAGGTGCATTTGTTCTTGAAACCTGCGTTCCAGTAGTGGCCTTACTAGTTTTTTGCAAAGGTGAACTAAAGTCAACTGTTGTGATAGCAGCTTCAGTGATTATTTCAGGCACAATAGTTGTTGTTTCTACTGTAGTTATGTTTTGGGCTGCAACGGTGGTTACGGCAGATGTAGTTTCATTTGAAGCAGTTGTCTCAGAACCAGTTGCTGCTGTTACTGTTACTGCTACTTCTGGAGTTGTTGTCGAAGATGAAATAGTAGTTACACCTGCTGAAGTTGTTATAGGAGGTGTGATGGTACTTTCCTCAACAGTAGACTGTACTGTTATGGTACTCCCAATCACAGTTGAGGCACCAACTGTAGTAACTTTATCCTCAGAACTTGTCTCGGCTACTGTTGATGTACCAGCTGATGTAGCTGTCTCTGAATCTACAGTACGTGTCTCGGTAGATGTGCTGATAGCACCAGTGGTAACACCAGGAGTGGTAGTTACTTCAGATACTGTGGTCTGAACAACTGTACTTGTAGCTTCAGCTTTGCTTGTGGCACTACTAGTTGTGCTTTCCACAGCTGTCGTGTCATCGGAAATAGTCATCTCGGCAGTTGTTTGACCACCAGTGGTGATACCAGAAGTTGTAGAAACCTCAGCTTGAGTGGTTTGGGTAGCCAAGGAAAAAGGTTCAGCTGCAGTTGTACTCTTTACAGCTGTAGTGATATCAGCAACAGTCGTTTCAGGAAGAGATATGGTCACAGCATTTGTACTTACACCACCTGTTGTGAGAATCTCTGCAGTGGCTGTCTCCGATGCTAAAGAAACTCCAACTGTACTTGCTTCCACAGAAGATGTTATATCAACATCAGTGGTGAGACTAGAGGTTGTTGCTATCTCAGCTGCAGTTGTCTCACCAGGTAACGTTGTAGCTTCAACTGTGCTTGTGGCTCTACCAGATGTGCTCTCAACAGCCAAAGTCACATCAGCAGTTGTGTCTGCAGCAGGGGTGGCCACAGAACTTGTAGTCACTCCTGCATTAATGATTGTCTCAGCAGTAGTTGTGTAGACTGCTGAAGTGATTTCAACAGTAGTTGGCTCTGCAGCAGTGGTCTGAGCATCAGTGGTCACACCAGAAGTTGTAGTTACTTCAGATACTGTGGTCTGAACAACTGTACTTGTAGCTTCAGCTTTGCTTGTGGCACTACCAGTTGTGCTTTCAACAGCTGATGTCACATCAGCAGTTGTGGTCTCTGCAACAGGGGTGGACACAGAACTTGAAGTCACTCCTGCAGTAGTGATTATCTCAGCAGTAGTTGTTTGGGCTGCTGAAGTGATTTCAACAGTAGTTGGCTCTGCAGCAGTGGTCTGAGCATCAGTGGTCACACCAGAAGTTGTAGTTACGTCAGATATTGTGGTCTGAATAACCGTACTTGCAGCTTCAGCTGTGGTTGTAGCTCTACCAGTTGTGCTTTCCACAGCTGACGTCACATCAGCAGTTGTGGTCTCTGCAACAGGGGTGGCCACAGAACTTGAAGTCACTCCTGCAGTAGTGATTATCTCAGCAGTAGTTGTTTGGGCTGCTGAAGTGATTTCAACAGTAGTTGGCTCTGCAACAGTGGTCACACCAGAAATTGTAGTTACTTCAGATACTGTGGTCTGAACAACTGTACTTGTAGCTTCAGCTTTGCTTGTGGCACTACCAGTTGTGCTTTCAACAGCCGAAGTCACATCAGCACCAGTGGTCACACCTTGAGTTGTAGTTACTTCAGATACTGTGGTCTGAACAACTGTACTTGTAGCTTCAGCTGTGGTTGTGGCTCTACCAGTTGTGCTTTCCACAGCTGATGTCACATCAGCAGTTGTTGTGTCTGCAGCAGGGGTGGACACAGACTCTGTAGTCACTCCTGCAGTAGTGATAATCTCAGCAGTAGTTGTTTGGGCTGCTGAAGTGATTTCAACAGTAGTTGGCTCTGCAGCAGTGGTCTGAGCATCAGTGGTAACACCAGAAGTTGTAGTTACGTCAGATATTGTGGTCTGAATAACCGTACTTGCAGCTTCAGCTGTGGTTGTAGCTCTACCAGTTGTGCTTTCCACAGCTGACGTCACATCAGCAGTTGTGGTCTCTGCAACAGGGGTGGCCACAGAACTTGAAGTCACTCCTGCAGTAGTGATTATCTCAGCAGTAGTTGTTTGGGCTGCTGAAGTGATTTCAACAGTAGTTGGCTCTGCAACAGTGGTCACACCAGAAATTGTAGTTACTTCAGATACTGTGGTCTGAACAACTGTACTTGTAGCTTCAGCTTTCCTTGTGGCACTACCAGTTGTGCTTTCAACAGCCGAAGTCACATCAGCACCAGTGGTCACACCTTGAGTTGTAGTTACTTCAGATACTGTGGTCTGAACAACTGTACTTGTAGCTTCAGCTGTGGTTGTGGCTCTACCAGTTGTGCTTTCCACAGCTGATGTCACATCAGCAGTTGTTGTGTCTGCAGCAGGGGTGGACACAGACTCTGTAGTCACTCCTGCAGTAGTGATAATCTCAGCAGTAGTTGTTTGGGCTGCTGAAGTGATTTCAACAGTAGTTGGCTCTGCAGCAGTGGTCTGAGCATCAGTGGTAACACCAGAAGTTGTAGTTACGTCAGATATTGTGGTCTGAATAATCGTACTTGCAGCTTCAGCTGTGGTTGTAACTCTACCAGTTGTGCTTTCCACAGCTGACGTCACATCAGCAGTTGTGGTCTCTGCAACAGGGGTGGACACAGAACTTGAAGTCACTCCTACAGTAGTGATTATCTCAGCAGTAGTTGTTTGGGCTGCTGAAGTGATTTCAACAGTAGTTGGCTCGGCAACAGTAGTCTTAGCATCAGTGGTCACACCAGAAGTTGTAGTTACTTCAGATACTGTGGTCTGAACAACTGTACTTGTAGCTTCAGCTTTGCTTGTGGCACTACCAGTTGTGCTTTCAACAGCCGAAGTCACATCAGCACCAGTGGTCACACCTTGAGTTGTAGTTACTTCAGATACTGTGGTCTGAACAACTGTACTTGTAGCTTCAGCTGTGGTTGTGGCTCTACCAGTTGTGCTTTCCACAGCTGATGACACATCAGCAGTTGTTGTGTCTGAAGCAGGGGTGGACACAGACTCTGTAGTCACTCCTGCAGTAGTAAATATCTCAGCAGTAGTTGTTTGGGCTGCTGAAGTGATTTCAACAGTAGTTGGCTCTGCAGCAGTGGTCTCAGCATCAGTGGTCACACCAGAAGTTGTAGTTACTTCAGATACTGTGGTCTGAACAACAGTACTTGTAGTTTCAGCTTTGCTTGTGGAACTACCAGTTGTGCTTTCCACAGCTGACGTCACATCAGCAGTTGTGGTCTCTGCAACAGGGGTGGACACAGAACTTGAAGTCACTCCTACAGTAGTGATTATCTCAGCAGTAGTTGTTTGGGCTGCTGAAGTGATTTCAACAGTAGTTGGCTCGGCAGCAGTGGTCTGAGCATCAGTGGTCACACCAGAGGTTGTAGTTACGTCAGATATTGTGGTCTGAATAACCGTACTTGCAGCTTCAGCTGTGGTTGTAGCTCTACCAGTTGTGCTTTCCACAGCTGACGTCACATCAGCAGTTGTGGTCTCTGCAACATTAGTGGCCACAGAACTTGAAGTCACTCCTGCAGTAGTGATTATCCCAGCATTAGTTGTTTGGGCTGCTGAAGTGATTTCAACAGTAGTTGGCTCTGCAGCAGTGGTCTCAGCACCAGTGGTCACACCAGGAGTTGTAGTTACTTCAGAAACTGTGGTCTGAATAACCGTACTTGCAGCTTCAGCTGTAGTTGTAGCTCTACCAGTTGTGCTTTCCACAGCTGACGTCAATTCAGCAGTTGTGGTCTCTGCAACAGGGGTGGCCACAGAACTTGAAGTCACTCCTGCAGTAGTGATTATCTCAGCAGTAGTTGTTTGGGCTGCTGAAGTGATTTCAACAGTAGTTGGCTCTGCAACAGTGGTCTTAGCATCAGTGGCCACAGAAGAAGTTGTAGTTACTTCAGATACTGTGGTCTGAACAACTGTACTTGTAGCTTCAACTTTGCTTGTGGCACTACCAGTTGTGATTTCAACAGCCGAAGTCACATCAGCACCAGTGGTCACACCTTGAGTTGTAGTTACTTCAGATACTGTGGTCTGAACAACTGTACTTGTAGCTTCAGCTGTGGTTGTGGCTCTACCAGTTGTGCTTTCCACAGCTGACGTCCCATCAGCAGTTGTGGTCTCTGCAACATTGGTGGCTACAGAACTTGAAGTCACTCCTGCAGTAGTGATTATCCCTGCAGTAGTTGTTTTGGGCTGCTGAAGTGATTTCAACAGTAGTTGGCTCTGCAGCAGTGGTCTCAGCACCAGTGGTCACACCAGGAGCTGTAGTTACTTCAGATACTGTGGTCTGAACAACTGTACTTGTAGCTTCAGCTTTGCTTGTGGCACTACCAGTTGTGCTTTCAACAGCTGATGTCACATCAGCAGTTGTTGTGTCTGCAGCAGGGGTGGACACAGACTCTGTAGTCACTCCTGCAGTAGTGAATATCTCAGCAGTAGTTGTTTGGGCTGCTGAAGTGATTTCAACAGTAGTTGGCTCTGCAGCAGTGGTCTGAGCATCAGTGGTCACACCAGAAGTTGTAGTTACTTCAGATACTGTGGTCTGAACAACTGTACTTGTAGCTTCAGCTGTGGTTGTGGATCTACCAGTTGTGCTTTCCACAGCTGATGTCACATCAGCAGTTGTTGTGTCTGCAGCAGGGGTGGACACAGACTCTGTAGTCACTCCTGCAGTAGTGATTATCTCAGCAGTAGTTGTTTGGGCTGCTGAAGTGATTTCAACAGTAGTTGGCTCGGCAGCAGTGGTCTGAGCATCAGTGGTAACACCAGAAGTTGTAGTTACGTCAGATATTGTGGTCTGAATAATCGTACTTGCAGCTTCAGCTGTGGTTGTAACTCTACCAGTTGTGCTTTCCACAGCTGACGTCACATCAGCAGTTGTGGTCTCTCCAACAGGGGTGGCAATAGAACTGGAAGTCACTCCTGCAGTAGTGATTATCTCAGCAGTAGTTGTTTGGGCTGCTGAAGTGATTTCAACAGTAGTTGGCTCTGCAACAGTAGTCTTAGCATCAGTGGTCACACCAGAGGTTGTAGTTACGTCAGATATTGTGGTCTGAATAACCGTACTTGCAGCTTCAGCTGTGGTTCTAGCTCTACCAGTTGTGCTTTCCACAGCTGACGTCCCATCAGCAGTTGTGGTCTCTGCAACATTGGTGGCCACAGAACTTGAAGTCACTCCTGCAGTAGTGATTATCCCTGCAGTAGTTGTTTGGGCTGCTGAAGTGATTTCAACAGTAGTTGGCTCTGCAGCAGTGGTCTCAGCACCAGTGGTCACACCAGGAGTTGTAGTTACTTCAGATACTGTGGTCTGAACAACTGTACTTGTAGCTTCAGCTTTGCTTGTGGCACTACCAGTTGTGCTTTCAACAGCCGAAGTCACATCAGCAGTTGTTGTGTCTGCAGCAGGGGTGGACACAGACTCTGTAGTCACTCCTGCAGTAGTGATTATCTCAGTAGTAGTTGTTTGGGCTGCTGCAGTGATTTCAACAGTAGTTGGCTCTGCAGCAGTGCTCTGAGCATCAGTGGTCACACCAGAAGTTGTAGTTACGTCAGATATTGTGGTCTGAATAACCGTACTTGCAGTTTCAGCTGTGGTTGTAGCTCTACCAGTTGTGCTTTCCACAGCTGACGTCACATCAGCAGTTTTGGTCTCTGCAACAGGGGTGGCCACAGAACTTGAAGTCACTCCTGCAGTAGTGATTATCTCAGCAGTAGTTGTTTGGGCTGCTGAAGTGATTTCAACAGTAGTTGGCTCTACAGCAGTGGTCTGAGCATCAGTGGTCACACCAGAGGTTGTAGTTACGTCAGATATTGTGGTCTGAATAACCGTACTTGCAGCTTCAGCTGTGGTTGTAGCTCTACCAGTTGTGCTTTCCACAGCTGACGTCACATCAGCAGTTGTGGTCTCTGCAACATTGGTGGCCACAGAACTTGAAGTCACTCCTGCAGTAGTGATTATCCCAGCAGTAGTTGTTTGGGCTGCTGAAGTGATTTCAACAGTAGTTGGCTCTGCAACAGTGGTCTTAGCATCAGTGGTCACACCAGAAGTTGTAGTTACTTCAGATACTGTGGTCTGAACAACTGTACTTGTAACTTCAGCTTTGCTTGTGGCACTACCAGTTGTGCTTTCAACAGCCGAAGTCACATCAGCACCAGTGGTCACACCTTGAGTTGTAGTTAATTCAGATACTGTGGTCTGAACAACTGTACTTGTAGCTTCAGCTGTGGTTGTGGCTCTACCAGTTGTGCTTTCTACAGCTGATGTCACTTCAGCAGTTGTTGTGTCTGCAGCAGGGGTGGACACAGACTCTGTAGTCACTCCTGCAGTAGTGAATATCTCAGCAGTAGTTGTTTGGGCTGCTGAAGTGATTTCAACAGTAGTTGGCTCTGCAGCAGTGGTCTCAGCATCAGTGGTCACACCAGAAGTTGTAGTTACTTCAGATATTGTGGTCTGAACAACTGTACTGGTAGCTTCAGCTTTGCTTGTGGCACTACCAGTTGTGCTTTCAACAGCCGAAGTTACATCAGCAGTTGTTGTGTCTGCAGCAGGGGTGGACACAGACTCTGTAGTCACTCCTGCAGTAGTGATTATCTCAGCAGTAGTTGTTTGGGCTGCTGAAGTGATTTCAACAGTAGTTGGCTCGGCAGCAGTGGTCTGAGCATCAGTGGTAACACCAGAAGTTGTAGTTACGTCAGATATTGTGGTCTGAATAATCGTACTTGCAGCTTCAGCTGTGGTTGTAACTCTACCAGTTGTGCTTTCCACAGCTGACGTCACATCAGCAGTTGTGGTCTCTCCAACAGGGGTGGCAATAGAACTGGAAGTCACTCCTGCAGTAGTGATTATCTCAGCAGTAGTTGTTTGGGCTGCTGAAGTGATTTCAACAGTAGTTGGCTCTGCAACAGTAGTCTTAGCATCAGTGGTCACACCAGAAGTTGTAGTTACTTCAGATACTGTGGTCTGAACAACTGTACTTGTAGCTTCAGCTTTGCTTGTGGCACTACCAGTTGTGCTTTCAACAGCCGAAGTCACATCAGCACCAGTGGTCACACCTTGAGTTGTAGTTACTACAGATACTGTGGTCTGAACAACTGTACTTGTAGCTTCAGCTGTGGTTGTGGCTCTACCAGTTGTGCTTTCCACAGCTGATGTCACATCAGCAGTTGTTGTGTCTGCAGCAGGGGTGGACACAGACTCTGTAGTCACTCCTGCAGTAGTGATTATCTCAGCAGTAGTTGTTTGGGCTGCTGAAGTGATTTCAACAGTAGTTGGATCTGCAGCAGTGGTCTGAGCATCAGTGGTCACACCAGAAGTTGTAGTTACGTCAGATATTGTGGTCTGAATAACCGTACTTGCGGCTTCAGCTGTGGTTGTAGCTCTACCAGTTGTGCTTTCCACAGCTGACGTCACATCAGCAGTTGTGGTCTCTGCAACATTGGTGGCCACAGAACTTGAAGTCACTCCTGCAGTAGTGATTATCCCAGCAGTAGTTGTTTGGGCTGCTGAAGTGATTTCAACAGTAGTTGGCTCTGCAGCAGTGGTCTCAGCACCAGTGGTCACACCAGAAGTTGTAGTTACTTCAGATACTGTGGTCTGAATAACCGTACTTGCAGCTTCAGCTGTGGTTGTAGCTCTACCAGTTGTGCTTTCCACAGCTGATGTCACATCAGCAGTTGTGGTCTCTGCAACAAGGGTGGCCACAGAACTTGAAGTCACTCCTGCAGTAGTGATTATCTCAACAGTAGTTGATTGGGCTGCTGAAGTGATTTCAACAGTAGTTGGCTCTCCAGAAGTGGTCTCAGCACCAGTGGTCACACCAGAAGTTGTAGTTACTTCAGATACTGTGGTCTGAATAACCGTACTTGCAGCTTCAGCTGTGGTTGTAGCTCTACCAGTTGTGCTTTCCACAGCTGATGTCACATCAGCAGTTGTGGTCTCTGCAACAAGGGTGGCCACAGAACTTGAAGTCACTCCTGCAGTAGTGATTATCTCAACAGTAGTTGATTGGGCTGCTGAAGTGATTTCAACAGTAGTTGGCTCTCCAGAAGTGGTCTCAGCATCAGTGGTCACACCAGAAGTTGTAGTTACTTCAGATACTGTGGTCTGAACAACTGTACTTGTAACTTCAGCTTTGCTTGTGGCACTACCAGTAGTGCTTTCCACAGCTGATGTCACATCAGCAGTTGTTGTGTCTGCAGTAGGGGTGGCCACAGACTCTGTAGTCACTCCTGCAGTAGTGATTATCTCAGCAGTAGTTGTTTGGGCTGCTGTAGTGATTTCAACAGTAGTTGGCTCGGCAGCAGTGGTCTGAGCATCAGTGGTCACACCAGAAGTTGTAGTTACGTCAGATATTGTGGTCTGAATAACCGTACTTGCAGCTTCAGCTGTGGTTGTAGCTCTACCAGTTGTGCTTTCCACAGCTGACGTCACATCAGCAGTTGTGGTCTCTGCAACATTGGTGGCCACAGAACTTGAAGTCACTTCTGCAGTAGTGATTATCCCAGCAGTAGTTGTTTGGGCTGCTGAAGTGATTTCAAAAGTAGTTGGCTCTGCAACAGTGGTCTTAGCATCAGTGGTCACACCAGAAGTTGTAGTTACTGAAGATACTGTGGTCTGAACAACTGTACTTGTAGCTTCAGCTTTGCTTGTGGCACTACCAGTTGTGCTTTCAACAGCCGAAGTCACATCAGCACCAGTGGTCACACCTTGAGTTGTAGTTAATTCAGATACTGTGGTCTGAACAACTGTACTTGTAGCTTCAGCTGTGGTTGTGGCTCTACCAGTTGTGCTTTCCACAGATGAAGTCACATCAGCAGTTGTTGTGTCTGCAGCAGGGGTGGCCACAGAACTTGAAGTCACTCCTGCAGTAGTGATTATCTCAGCAGTAGTTGATTGGGCTGCTGAAGTGATCTCAACAGTAGTTGGCTCTCCAGCAGTTGTCTCAGCATCAGTGGTCACACCAGAAGTTGTAGTTACTTCAGATACTGTGGTCTGAACAACTGTACTTGTAACTTCAGCTTTGCTTGTGGCACTACCAGTTGTCCTTTCCACAGCCGAAGTCACATCAGCACCAGTGGTCACACCTTGAGTTGTAGTTAATTCAAATACTGTGGTCTGAACAACTGTACTTGTAGCTTCAGCTGTGGTTGTGGCTCTACCAGTTGTGCTTTCCACAGCTGATGTCACATCAGCAGTTGTTGTGTCTGCAGCAGGGGTGGACACAGACTCTGTAGTCACTCCTGCAGTAGTGAATATCTCAGCAGTAGTTGTTTGGGCTGCTGAAGTGATTTCAACAGTAGTTGGCTCTGCAGCAGTGGTCTCAGCATCAGTGGTCACACCAGAAGTTGTAGTTACTTCAGATATTGTGGTCTGAACAACTGTACTGGTAGCTTCAGCTTTGCTTGTGGCACTACCAGTTGTGCTTTCCACAGCCGAGGTCACATCAGCACCAGTGGTCACACCTTGAGTTGTAGTTACTTCAGATACTGTGGTATGAACAACTGTACTTGTAGCTTCAGCTGTGGTTGTGGCTCTACCAGTTGTGCTTTCCACAGCTGATGTCACATCAGCAGTTGTTGTGTCTGCAGCAGGGGTGGACACAGACTCTGTAGTCACTCCTGCAGTAGTGAATATCTCAGCAGTAGTTGTTTGGACTGCTGAAGTGATTTCAACAGTAGTTGGCTCTGCAGCAGTGGTCTCAGCATCAGTGGTCACACCAGAAGTTGTAGTTACTTCAGATATTGTGGTCTGAACAACTGTACTGGTAGCTTCAGCTTTGCTTGTGGCACTACCAGTTGTGCTTTCCACAGCCGAAGTCACATCAGCACCAGTGGTCACACCTTGAGTTGTAGTTACTTCAGATACTGTGGTATGAACAACTGTACTTGTAGCTTCAGCTGTGGTTGTGGCTCTACCAGTTGTGCTTTCCACATCTGATGTCACATCAGCAGTTGTTGTGTCTGCAGCAGGGGTGGACACCGACTCTGTAGTCACTCCAAAAGTAGTGATTATCTCAGCAGTAGTTGTTTGGGCTGCTGAAGTGATTTCAACAGTAGTTGGCTCGGCAGCAGTGGTCTGAGCATCAGTGGTAACACCAGAAGTTGTAGTTACGTCAGATATTGTGGTCTGAATAACCTTACTTGCAGCTTCAGCTGTGGTTGTAGCTCTACCAGTTGTGCTTTCCACAGCTGACGTCACATCAGCAGTTGTGGTCTCTGCAACATCGGTGGCCACAGAACTTGAAGTCACTCCTGCAGTAGTGATTATCCCAGCAGTGGTTGTTTGGGCTGCTGAAGTGATTTCAAAAGTAGTTGGCTCTGCAACAGTGGTCTTAGCATCAGTGGTCACACCAGAAGTTGTAGTTACTGAAGATACTGTGGTCTGAACAACTGTACTTGTAGCTTCAGCTTTGCTTGTGGCACTACCAGTTGTGCTTTCAACAGCCGAAGTCACAT